GCACACCTGTAAATTCCAACTACCTGGGAGGTTCAGGCAGGAAGATGCTGAGTTTGAGGCTAGCCTGAGCTTCACAGTGAGACTTTGTCTCAAAATTTAAATACACAAAATAAAAAGGGCGAGGCATGTGGCATAATCATGGTTGAATACTTGGATAGCATACACGAGATCCTGTATTCAATTCCTAGAATGCAAAATATGTACATAACAGGTGTTCAAACAAAAATCTGAACTATCTCTGTAATACCAGCACTCTGAGAGGCTGAGGCAGGACCTCAGGTTTGAGCCCAGCACAAAGGCTCTAGGTTCAGTGGAGGGAAGAAGTAATGGATACATCATTGATTTTTTGAGCTAGGTTATGAAATCTTTTCCTATATATTTTAAACAACCTTTAAATTATTACTTGTCCCAAATAACATGAGTTTATTTGGAGTTCTATTGGGAGTCTAGTGATAGAATAAAAATTTATTTTGTCAGTATGACAAAGATCTTTTAGCATCAAATATTCTCTTTCATCAAATATTCTCTTTCAACACTATGACAAAGAGAAAGTAGTACTTTCTTACCTGTCTGGCTGATCCACTAGCCTGTTTTACTTTTTCTGCTACTCCTCCTAGGAGCTGTACAAGTTTTGTCTGCTTAGAAAGTTCTTCTCTGAGTCTTTTTCCTCCTACTGAGAGGAGAGCACCCAAAACATGTTCATATCGGGTACCAAACTGTGTATCATGCAGTGCATCCTTGAGAAGCCTAACAGAGCAAAAATACATGTCAGTCACTTCTGAGAATCAGATGAACCTCCCTTAACAATCAATTTAACAAATTCTATTTTTTGTGCATAAAAATTTAAGTACATAGCAAGTAAAAACTCATGGTGTTATAACATGCCAAGTATTTTGCAATAGAGGGTCTTGTCATTTTTTGTTTTTCTCCTAAAAACATCAAAATTTAGTTTTAAAATAATGCAGTCACGCAGGCAAGGTGGTACATGCCTGTAGCCCCAGTATTTGGGAAGCTGAGAAAGCAGGATCATTATGAGTTTAAGGCCAGCCTGGGCTACAAAGTGAGTTCAAGGCCAGCCTGAACTGCAGAGTAAAGCCCAGTGTCAAAAAGACAAAAAATAATATAATGCATTCAACAAAACATTTGATAGCCACAGTAACTAGTATGGACATATTATTTAGACTTAACAGAGTATATCCTCACTATAAAAAACAGGAATAGAAATAAGGTACTTAATAAAAAATTGAAATCTTACCAATATAAATTGTGTGCTATCTGGATATTTCCCAAAGCCCTGGACAGAAGGAAGTGTACTAATGAACTATTCAGGTAAATTTCATATTTCAAAGCCTATGTGTAGAAAGAAAGTAAGACTCAGTAGTGGTCAAACCCAAACTAAATTATTCAGTGAAATTATCAAAAGAACCATGTAAGTCAAACATTACTCATAAAAGATTAATTCTTGTAAAACTGAACAAGTTAATTACTATAGGCTAAAGTGATGAAATAAAACACAAAAATGTACTTACAAAAAATATTTATTAGCAGTGTTTCACTAGCCAGTAAAGGAAAACCAAGGAAAAGTTCAAGTCTGGATTGTTATGAGACTCTAAAAAGTCTAAGAATTAAAAGTTCAAGTACAGATATGCAGAATTCATGAGGCACAGATGACAATGGGAGAATACCCAACACACTAAGCCGGCACGTAATACCCCTCGACACTGCCATACAACAAAATTACTTTTAATTAAAATAGAACGGGGACCCTTATTAAGTTTCCAACTCACAGAACCAAGAGTAAGGTCACTCAGTAATAAACTCACTTGCACAAACTGTGGAAGGAGATCTGTTAGCTCATCATCACTAATGGCCTCAATCCAGGTCACAGCTAGGGATCTCACTTCCTGATCAGCAAACCTACAACATCAGAAAATCAGGGTTTAACAATGATTTCCTTCCACTGAAGCCATAGTTTAAAAAAGAAAAAAAAAGACAATTTCAATTTGTTCTTAACAAAAAATACTCATATAATTCTTTATTCAGAAGCAATGTGTTTTTTTTCTTCAGGAAGATTACTATAGATTCAATTTTGAGATTAATTTTGTGATAATTAATTTTTGCCCATACTGGAAAGCATAATAAACTGACTTACTTTGAATCAAGAAGCTCCAATGCAGCCAATGGATGCAAGGGCGGCCACTCATGAAGCAATGAGTAAGTTTTGGCAAGATTAACCCATTTCCAGTTTGGGGCACTTGCTAGGATTTTAGGAAGACAATTTGGATGTCTGAAGCAGTAATAACGTTTCTCCCACAAAAAGGCTTTATCTTCTTTAGAAAGCCTGTATTCATAACAATTAAATTTCTCATTAATACTGTAACAACATAGTTATAACCTCAATGATTAAAAACACAATGAAATTTATCCTATTCTTGGTAAAAACATTTAACACTAATTTGGAATAGAAAATGCAATGTACAGTAAACATCGTTACTTTACCCTAATTTGGGTGTGAAAAGAAATTATTCTTCCTAATAAAAGTCATGAAAACAAAGGATAATTCAGTAGAGTAAAAATTTATTGAGCTCAAACCAGATGCCACATAGTATAAATGGGAGATTAATTAATAGACTTCACCCAAAGAGTTTGCAAGGATTTCACCCATTTTATACAAGTCAAATGTCATATAGAACACATATGCTGCTATCATTTTGGGGGTGGGGTAGGTAACACTGTGAAATGAACCCAGGGCCTCCGCACTGAGCTATATTCCTTGACCCCTTCCCTTTTTTTGAGGCAAGGTCTCACTAAATGCCTTAGTTGCCCAGACTGGGCTCAAATCTGTGATCCTGCTCTCCCAGCTTCCCAGCGCTAAAATCTCAGACATGTATTATTGTTCTTGGCTGCTAATATAAAATGTTAGAGAATGATTATACAGTTGAATTACGAATAATTAAAATGGAAATGACTTGCTCTAGATAGTCTCATTCTACTTGCTTTAAACTTAGTGAACAATGTTCATGTGAACATTTGACTATTTTATAACCTATTCATTTTTATACATATAATACATATAGTGAAACACATAAATTTCATATGGTGAACTAAAAAAATCCATATGCTAAGGGCCAGCCTGATAGCTCAGTGAACTAAAGCACCTGCTTTGGCAGAGTGCAGCGGCTGAGGTTTGATTCCCAGGGTGCAGCGCCGGCCACACCCCTGGGGTGCACTGAGACAGCGATTGGGACTGGGCGTGGTGGCATGCGCCTGTAATCCCAGCACTTGTGAGGCTGAAAGCAGGAGAATCACTACAAGTCCAATCTACGTGGTAAGACCTTGTACACCCTGACCTAAATACAGAAAAGGAAAAAAAAAAAAAATCTGTATGTTGTGAAAAGTGCATAGTAAAATCTCTCTTTGCAACTCCCAATCACCCAAGGTCAATTTTTTTCTTTTTACTAATAGTCATACTATATTATACGTATAGTACATTTATCATGTCTTATATACTAGTACATACTACTTTAACGTCATTGTACGTAGTTGTAGTTCACCACTGAATGATTTTAACTGTTACTGATAGGCATTTCTAATCAGCTTTTCAGCAACCTAATTACTGCAATATTCTCATCCTTACAAACAAATATACAAGGGTTTTCTCTATGAAATAGATGGAGGGAACATTGCTGGGTTGCACAATTGTTCTGTACAACTGTGTAATTTTCCCATCTTTTTAAAATACTTATCACTGTAATACTGTGCACTACTTTTCCTCAAGAGGCTGGACATCTTTTCAGATGTTCAAAGGATAGTATGTTTTATTGTGTACATTCTTCTTCATTACTGAATTATCTTATTGATGTGAAAAAATTTCTTTATAGACTAAGGAAATTAATACATTGATTTCCCAGGGTGTCTTCCTTTTAATCAAGTAATAAGTTTGACTTAAACAAGTTTCCTAAACTGATGCAGTCATCTCATGTTGGTTTGTGTACTTGTTTCTTGGTGTTGGGACTTGAACCTACCACTCTCCACATGCTAGGCAAGTGAGCTACACCTGTATTTCCATATGGGCTTGGCAGGGAGGGGGCAGCTTTTTGAGACCGGGTCTCACTGTGCAGTTCAGGCTGCCCTTGAGCTCATTCTGTAGCCCAGGCTGGGCTTGAACTTACAGCAATCCTCCTGCCTCAGCCTCCTGGGTGTTGATACTATAGGCATGCATCACCATACCTGGCTTGATATAATTTTAAAACATTAAATAGAAAATTTTCCTCACCAAGAGCACTGCTAAGAAATGAAGTAAATAAGGACATTTAATATAAGCTCTTAACTGGATCTTTAACACTGTAACTGACACTGTAACTGATACCCAGGCAAAACAGAATAAATAAGGCATACCCAAATGATGAGTCTCTTTGAAGAATATCAAAAAGTTTTTCTTTTATATCATTTTCCAGTGTTTCTAAGTCATACGGCTGTATAATGCTTCTGTCAACTTGTGGAGTTGTATAAATAATATCAAATGTAGGAAAAGGAAAATCAACCTTAAAAAATAAAAAAATTAATCAAATTACAATTGAAATATGTCATACTAGCTTAAAAAAAACTTTTTTTCTTAGCAGTAAAAATGTATTTATATTGAATATTAAATTAGTGCTTGTCTTTCTGTTGATAGTGGTTACCAATAGTTGGTAACTCTCAATACTACATATATATTTTTGAGATGGTGTCATGGTTTGGGGTTTTGTAAGAATGATATAATACAGGACACATTTTATAAGATTTTTTTATAATCACCCAAAGAATCATACACAAAGAGTGCAGGGAATCTGCCCACACACTGAAGACCAAAGAAAGCAGCTAAAGGCCTGGATCTTAATATCCTGCTTGAGTCCAGCTCCTAGAGTCCATAACAGTGCCTTCCACAAGTCCAACTGGAGGCCCAGAGTCCATGACAATGTCTCATGCAGGACTGCTTTATGGATCTGCACTGGGATGTCCCATCAGTAGAAAGTCTGTGTTAGCAGGATGAAGATCTATGCTAACAGGCTGAGGGATCTGTACTGGAGCTAGGAAGCAATGCTCAAGGTGAAAACCAGAACTCCCCACAGAAGTACCACATTCATCCTCAGCATCAGTGAGGTCCTGAGCTCCTCTTGTGATGAAGAAAGCGAGTTCCCATTAGGAAAGCCAACGGGACAATCTTCTTCAGAAGGCTGAGCAGTACACTATCTTCTCCTCTGAAGCCAGGAAGCAATGCTCAAGATGAAGACAAGAGCTCCGCCAAAGTAAACCATAGCCATTCTCAGCGACAACGAGGTCCTGAGCTCCTCCTCTGACAAGAACAGCCAAGTTCATCAGGAAAGCCAGCATGACAAGGTCCTCCAGCAGAACAGCCCAAGAGAATAGCAGCTTCCAACAGCTCCAAACAGCTTCTCCAAACAGCTTTCCTAACAGCCTCTCAAAAGCTTTTCCAGTTCTGCCTCTTATGCTGCGGGCAACAGTCCATAGGTGGGCCTCCCATACCTAGCACCACACTAGTTCCGTTCGGCAGGGTGTAACAAATTGACCACCAGTTAGCAATCTACTACAGATGGGTACAATGCAGTTTTGTTTTTCAATGATGGGGACTGAATCCAGGGGTACTCCACCACTAAACTACATCTCCCATACTTCAAATTATTTGTTGTTTTGAGTGTTAATTGCCCAGGCTGGCTTCAAATTTGTGATCCTCCTGCCTCAGTTTCCAGAGTAGCTGGGATTACAGGTATATGCCACCACATTCAGCTTCTATTTTTCAGAAACTAGACATGGTTTTGTGATTTAAACTTAAGATAGAGTCTGAAGTTAAAAGATCAATTAAATTTCTTTAATAACCAAAATCATGGTATACACCCACACACTTTTTATAAAAGAATTTAAATTTAAACCTCTCCATGGGCCAAGAAATACCATTACCTGTAGCACTATTCTTTCCATGACATATCCTTTTTTAGGAATTGTTCCAGGACTAGGATTTGCACGTGATGAAGTCCAAAGATAAAGAAGTTTGGTTCCACATGTTAAAAACCTTCATGAATGTAAAAAGAATACTGTGATTTCCTTTAAAATAAAATGCAAAACTCTTTAACGCTGGTCAACTTGAAATATTCACATTCCATTCACTATTTTATAAAAGTAAAATCTTTAAGAACAGATCAGTTTTTGTTCTCCACACTGTACTGTGTGACTTCAGGTGAACACATACTGAACTATAAAGGACAAAGGAGAATGAAAATCTTGTGAAGGATGGAACGAAGCTGGAAAAAGGCGCTGTGCCACTGAGTTTTTTCTACAAAGGGATACAGACCAAAGTGGAGAAATACTTGGATTACAGAACTGCTCCCAGACGTTTACCATTAGAATGAAAACTACATGCAAAGAGAACCAGTGCCAGAACACCAATCATCTGAGATAAGTTGTATCTGTGCCCTTGTCTACAAACTTTCAGCAATCAAATACTGTTGACTTTATAGGTCACTTATTCTTTGCTGCCAAGACTTTGGCTGTTATAATACAAAGCAGCCATAAGTAATGCACAAATGAATAAGTATACTATGTTCTAACAAACTTCTTATAAAAACAGGTGGGGGGGGGGCTCAAGCATGTACTATCATTAGATCTCAAGCTCTAATTTGATTCTAGTTTCTGGAAAGAATTTTATCTTTTGAAATCATTTATCTATTTTTTAAAATAATTAAGTTTATACAATATAAATATGTATAATAATTACATTCATCACAGGGAACTTGTGTATTTGTACATGATATATCTTAATTCCTCTTTTTTCCCCACATTCCTCTCTCCTCCCTTCAACCCCACTTCCCCTCCTTATTTACAAAGCTTCATTTCTATTTTATCCTTTTTTCTCATTTTTTTCTTTTTCCTTCTACACTCCCTCCCAATTCCCTTTGAAACATTACTGTTTCACAATATCTATTGTATATTTTGGTTCTTATTTACACTTCTGATTTCTCATACCAGAGAGACAATGTGATATTTATGTGTCCAGTGTATTTCACATAAGAGTATGGTCCCAGGGTCCTTCCATTCAGTTATAAATGTCTCAAGTTTATCCTTTTTCTGGCTTAGTAGTACTGCATTAAAAAAAAAAAAAAAAAACCCTCCAAGTCTCTTATCCATTCATTGCTTAATGGGCATTTGGGCTGTTTCTAAGATTTAGCTATTCCAAATTGTGCTGCTATGCATATGACTGCACATATACCACTGTGGTATGATGCTTTTAATTCTTTTGGGAAGATACCGCAAATCTAACAACCCAATCCAAAAATGGGCATCTGAAATGAATAGACACTTCTCAGAAGGAGTACAAATTGCAAATAAACAGATAATAAAATGTTTAATATACTGATTAGAGTTATAAATTAAAACAACACTGAGATTCCATCTTGTCCCAGAAAGGTTATTATACAGCGAATTTTAAAATCAAGATCACTAACCACTACATAGTATATAACACTTCTTCTGTACATATATTCATATAAATTATCTTCCCTCTTAGTTTCTGAGGGAGGAGTTTTTTTTTTTTTTTTTGGGGGGGGAGGACCTTTTCTGAGACAGAATCTCACTATGTACTTCAGGCTGGCCTTGAATTAATTATGTTGCCCAGGCTGGTCTCTAACTCAAGGCAATCCTCCTGCTTCAGCCTCCTGAGTGCTGGGACTACAGGTGTGTGCCACCATGCCTAGTTGTCTCTTTACTTCTGGCATGCTTGCTTTTTTTCTTTCCTTTCTTAATATATTTAGTACAGGGCCTACAGGGTCCAATCACTACATAGATTGGACTCAGTGATTCTCTTGTTTTCAGCCTCCCAATTACAGGTGCATACCACCATGCCCCGTCTCAATCCCTGTCTCAGCACACCCTGGGGGTGGGGCCCGCATGGCACTGCGCTCTGCCTAAGCAGACAGTTTAGTCTGCTAAGCTATCTGACCAGCACTTCTGGTTGTTTCTTGAATCTGAAGTTCCAATATTACCTAGAGGTACTGAACTACTTAGCAGCCTTCAACCAAAAACCATCTATTCAGGGTTTGATGCAAACTATAAAACTAAGAAGTCAACTTCTCTATCTAATTTATCTGATCTTATTTTATCTAATCTAGTCTACCTTATCTATCTGTCCTGGAGATGGAACTCAGGACTTTCACACTGAGCTACATTCCCCAAACCTTTTTGGATACAACCTAATTTGCTTAATCTGGGCTAGAACTTGCAATGCTCCTGCCTTGATTGCAGGGATTATAGGTGTGTACTACCACGCATGGTTTGCTTCACTTTATAATTTCTTGAATTATGAAAGAATGCTATGTCATTCATCTAAAAAAAAAGTTTACCAGACCATAAAAGTAGAAAATGACTTTCAAAACTGATTTACTGTAGTTACAAAAATCAATGATAGCGGGCATCTGAGATGAATGCACGCTTCTCAGAGAAAGAAATTAAAGAAGCGAATAAATATATGAAAAAATGCTCCACATCACTAGCCATTCGTGAAATGCAAATTAAAACCACATTGAGATAAGAATGGCTATCATAAAGAAATCACACAACAAGAAATTTTGGAGAGGCTGTGGGGAAAAAGGAACCCTTCTGCACTGCTGGTGGGAATGTAGACTTGTGCAACCATTATGGAAATCAATATAGAAACTCCTTCGAAAAATTGCTTTGGAAATCCCCTTTAAACCAGCTATTCCTCTACTGGGAATTTTTCCAGAGGATCTGAAAACATCATATCATAGGGATATATGTGTGCCTATGTTTATAGCAGCACAATTTGTAATAACCAAATCTTGGAAACAACCAAGATGCCCATCACCTGAGGAATGGTTGAGAAAGATGTGGTATTTTTACACAATGGAGTATTATTCAGCTATTAAGAATGATAAACTCCAAGCCTTTATATTGAAGTGGATGCCACTTGAACATATACTCATAAATGAAATAAACCAGACACATGTGTAAATATCAAAAAATCAATGATAGGATGTGAGGGTGATCTGGCTGTGACATCTGTCACCCCACTGATCGCCAGGGTTGATTTGGCTGATCTGGCTGGCTAGGCGGGTGTCCCCTTCCTCCCTCAACGATCCATGTGTGTCCCTCCTGAAGCTGCGCACTCGGTCGAAGAGGTCGATCACCCCCAATAGAGGAGGACCGTTCCTCGGTCAAGGGTATACGAGTAGCTGCGCTCCCCTGCTAGAACCTCCAAACAAGCTCTCAAAAATCAATGATAATAATGCGGGCTGGAGAGATGGCTCAGTGGTCTAGAGCACCTACTTGGAACAAGCTTGGCAAAGCACAGGGACCGCGGTTCGATCCCCCAGCACCACATGCCAGCCAGCCCCGCCCCCTGGTGGGCTGAGCTGGTCACACACATACACACACTAAATAAAAATGTAATAAATAAATAATTAAAAGAAATCAATGATAATAATGGAATTACATTTAATTTTCTCACATAACTACTGAAACTAATTTACCAAAAAAGAAATGAGAACACAATTCTTCTCCTTCATGGCACCAATGACAGTCAATATTCTGTTCAGGGAGGTTATGGATTATATTCAATGAAAAGTTTTATTTTTTTATTTTTTTTTTGATAAAACATAAAAATGACTATATTTCAAAACATAAGTTCTGTACAAAGTTCAATGAAAAGTTTTAAATGCGTATCAATAAGAGTAATCTCTTTTTTTTTTTTTGAAGAACCAGGGATTGAACTCAGGTCCTTGTGCTTCCCAGGGAAGCACTTATTCCACTGAGCCATCTCCCTGGCTCCAAGAGTAATCTCTTCACTGCTTTTCTCTAGTTTTTGATGGTTTATAACTATATCAGGTACCAAATAAAACATTAAAATGACCAAAAGATAGTTAAAAAGAAAAAAAGCTTTTACTGCCTCCTCAAATATGATAGAAATACTTATAACAAGCATTTTTCATTTAAGTGTATGGAAAAAGAATACAACAAGATCAAAATGTGTGAATTCAGGGCTGGGGATGCAGTTCATTGATAAAGCATTTGCCTATCATACCCAAGGCTCTAGGTTCAATCCATAATATTGAGGAAAAAAAAAAAAGTGTGAAGTCAGTAAGTGCTTACTGGAAAATCAAACAGTTTGCTACTTAAGGAAAAGGAAAAAGTAGACTGAGAGAATATTTTCAATTTTAAAAAAAAAGATCCATCATTAAATCCTTTCTAAATACTCCTGAGAATATGATGTTTCAAAGACTACACTCTACAATAACAAAAAAAGTGCTATGGTGTCAAATAAGTTTAAAAATATCAATATAGGATCCTGAAGCCATAATGCCTGATTCAAATCTCAACTACTATGCAAGCTCTGAGAAGCAAGGCACTTAACCTCTGTCCTTTGGTGGTTATAATAGTATCCTCATCATAGAGTTATAGGGGAATATATGGATATATGCACAGCACTCAGATAAAACCTAGCACATAGTAACAAGGAGTATATAAATGTTATTTAAGTGAATGTATTATAAAGTGTTTAAATAGGCTTTCTGATTACAGAACTTTAGATATGCTTTCAATACACTCATATACATTATCAGTTTGCAGAACAATCTCAATGTATTGTATATAGCATGTCCTAGATTTCTTTTCTATTTTGCATGACCTTATAATTCCAAATGGCTATTTCTTTCTTTTTACATCTTTGTTTCAACCAAATAGCTCAGTGGATTAAAGTGCCGGTAAGCACGCAGGGGCCGGCTAGGGTTTTGATCCCCCAGCCTGCTATGCCGGCCCTGCCCCTGGGGCGCACTGAGATGGCAATTGAGGTGCCAAGTGAGGGCATGGTGGCGTGCACCTGTAAACCCAGCTCTTGGAAGGCTGTAAACAGGCAGATCACTATGAGTCCAATCTAGTAGTGAGACCCTGAACATCCTGTAGACCCTTCCCTAAAATTAAAAACAAAAAAGTTTTCATTTATTTATTTATTTGGTACAGGGTCTCCCTAGGCAGCTGGGACTCATAGTGATTCTCCTGTTTCAGCTTCCCCAGCACTGGGATTACAGGTGTGTGCCACCATACCTGCTTTCAGAGGCCAGTACAGTACACTTGGGGTTCTGGGGTCAGCACATCATGTGGTACTGGGGATCAAACCTGGGTCCTTGTGTTTGCCAGGCAGGCACTTAGACTGCCGAGCTATCTCCCCAGCCCCCCAAATGGCTATTTCCTTAAGCTTTAATTAATAAAGAAGTTCCTTTACCCTTAAGAGTAAGAGAAAGAATCCTAGAACAGGTTTTTGACACATATAGGACCTTTGGAAAATAAAGACCAGAGGCCCATGACAGTAAGGGGACAGATTAGTCTGATAAAGACAATTAACGAAGGGAATAATGTATATCTATAGTCTCAAACTGGAGAGGTAGAGCAAAAGAATGAAAAGAGTTGCTTTCATTACTATCAGGGGAATTGATGAAATCATGGTATTATATCAGTCATACAGTGCTATACATAAATGAGTCACTGGGTGCTGCTGTTCTCCTGAACATGAGAAGCAGACCACCTTCCAGATACCCAGACAATCTTTAGACTACATCAGAATAACTGCTTTCCCCTGATCTCTCTTTGAACTGATCTCCTCTTATCATATTGGGAAAAACTGAAATAGCTCTCTTAGCTCATGTTTGTCATTGTCCCCATCCTGTCCTTTAGGCCAATTCTAATGTGTAGATATGTCCACAGCAGTTCACTATCACAATTCAATGATACTTACCGTTTATAGTCAAAAAGAGGCAAAGAAACTCTGCCCAAAGCTTCAGGCCCCTTTCTCTGCTTATTAGAATCAGGGGAACTTCCACTGCTCTGATTTAAAATTCCAAAAAGAGTAAGATGAAGAAGTGATTCTAATGGCAATTGTGATATCTGGATGGGAAAAATAATTCTATGGGGGAAAAAATGTATTAATAGAAAGAACAAATTAGATTGAATGAGCAACTTAGCTTTAATGAGACTGACAATTTTAGGAATTTCATTTGAATACCCAATAATCTTTAATTTTATGTAATCTTTAGCTATGCAGCAAGTTTGGTTAACTTATATTTTTAAAAGTCTTAAATTACATTAATACATAAAATTTTTTTTTTTTTTTTGCAGAACCAGGGATTGAACTCAGGTCCTTGCGCTTGCCAGGGAAGCACTTATTCCACTGAGCCATCTCCCCAGCCCCAAATAATACATAAAATTTTAAAGGACGTTTTTCTTTTTTGTTTTTGGCGGAACTGGGGATTGAACTCAGGCCCGTGCACTTGCCAGGCAAGTGCTTATTGTACTGAGCCATCTCCCCAGCCCAGGACGTTTTCTTCAAAAATTTTTAAGTACTTTTATTTAAGTTTTACAGCATCAATTTGCAGGCAAAATAACAGTCATCTTTATTTCAAGACAGACTTCAGTAGTGGTGAACCTACAGTACATGTGCCACAGCTGGCTGTATCACTAAAAGGTTTACTACAACTGGACTAGATGAATGTTTATGAGAATATCTGCTTTGGGTTGTAAATATGCAAAGATATATACAAACAGATAATATGTATTTCTTTTTTGTAAATCTGAAAGAACAGATGAGATCAAGAACGGTAACTCTAAATGAGATGATGAATTAAAAATGGGCTAGAACCCACTACCTTTTAAGACAGGGTATCTATGTTTCCCAGACTGGCCTTCGATTCACAATCCTCCCATGTCAGCCTCCTAAGTAGCTAGGAGTAGATGTACCACCATGGGGGCTGGGAATACAGTTCAACAGCACAGTACCTGCCTGGCAAGTGTGACATCATGAATTTGATTCCCAGATTCCCAGTGGAAGGAAGGCAGGCAGGGAAGTGGACTATCATGAGGAAAGCCATAATAGCTTAGCTTAGATGTACCACCATGCCTGGCATCCTATGTGCATGTTTGTTTTATTTGCTTGCCTTAATAGATACATTATTTTTGCAACTTAATAAAAGAGAAAATAGGAAAAAATTTTATATATATGTAACAAATAATAGAAAGTTCTTCAACTGACTACCTAACTTACAGTTTTGTGGTTTTTTTTTTTTTTCCCCATTCAGAAACAGCATTTTAAAAACAGTAATACTGGGCAGGTGTGGTAGCACATCAGTAATCCAGCATTCAGGAAGCTGAGGCAGGAAGATCACTGCAAGTCTGAGGCCAGCCTAGGCTACAAAGTTCAAGACCTCTTTGAACTACACAGGGCTGGTGAGATGGCTCAGTGGTCTAAAGCACCTATTTAGAACAAGCTAAGCCAAGCAAAGCACAAGGACCGCGGCTCAATCCCCCAGCACCACATGCCAGCCAGCCCCGCCCCCTGGTGGGCTGAGCTGGCCACACACACACTAAATAAATAAATAAAAGAAATGCTTGACTGGCAAACGCAAGGATCTGAGTTCAATCCCCAGTTCCAAAAAATTTAAAAAAAAAAAAAAAAGAACTACACAGAATGAGACCCTGTCTCAAAAAGCCAAACAAAACAAAACAAAAAAGTAACATTATAAAACATCCTGTACAAATTTAAAACAACTTTTTAAATCTAGTAATAAAAACCCAGATTCTTACACGTATCACAGAATAAAAACAAACAATGTTATTAAATACCATCTATAATAGTTAACCTTTTTGTCAACTTGGTAAGAAATGCCCTACTGATTGGTTTAGCACAGTTCTGGGTATGATTGAATGGATTAACTAAGACCCACTCTGGGTTTGAATGGCACAAACAAATAAGCCTCAATGGAGTAAAAGGGGAAGGAAAGAAGGCAGGCTCATTTTTGTTTCTTCAGAGGAGCTCCAGTGTTTGCCTTTGATGTCCATTTCCTGGCTTTCACAGCATACCCTTCAGCTGCCTGATATGGACTCACACAGGACTTCATCATGAAGCCTTAGACCTTTTTTTTTTTTTTTTGGTACCAGAGATGGAACTCAGAACCATACACTTGCCAGGTAGGTGCTCATGCCACTGAGCTATCTCCCTGGCCTGAGGTAAAGCCTTAGACTTCCTAACAGGCCCTTCAGCTCTCTAACACACAGACAGGCCTTTAGTAATGTTCCACATCTGACTCTGCAAGCAGCCACTGTAACCTTATGTGTGTGTGTGTGTTTTCTGTTCTCTAGAAGGCCTTAAATGATATACAACCCTTCTAGTATTTAATTACATGTAAATTTATATCTTTAACTTAACAAAGCCTAGGAAGAATTAACAACATGCTATTGCAATCTAATAACATATAGGGGTTTGGGCAAGTATTTCAGAATTTTTATTTTATTTTATGGTAAAAAAATTTTTTTTTTCATAATTTTATTGATAAATAGCAATGAGACAGTTTCAAATCAAATCGCTAGGACAATTTCAATAATTAACACACTGCATACATTCTTCTTAGTGGTTAACTGCTGTACAAGATGCGGACTTGAGGTCCTATTTACAAACACCATTAGAACAAATCATTCTATTCATTAAGAGAAGTATTTCAGAATTTTTAAAAAGAATTTGTTTTATAGAATCTTATCTAGAAAAGATTTTAAGACATCAGTAAAAATTTAATAAATTTCAGTGAAATTGGTAATAACTGAAGCTAGGTTACAAACATTAGGAACAGAGCACACTGAAAGTATTAAAAAGCCAGAAATTTCACTTACAATTCATCCCATTTAATAAGATAGAAGAAATTCTTATAAGTGCCAACCTTCTTTGATTGAATAGGTTTAAAAAGATCCTTTCCATTGTGAGACAGGGAACATATCAAATAATATTTTTCATAACTGAGAAAAGAAAAGAGTTAATTCAACTTCTATTTTAATAGTCCAAATTAGCAAACTAATACAGATACTTAGCAGTTCTTGACCCAAAGTGACTAATATCTGAAATAAACGGGTTAACATTCATTTGAATTTTTGGAAATCCACTTAAAATTTAACCACTGTAAATTATATGAAAATAGAGACCAAAGAAGCACAAAGGGCTAAGTACCAGTTTCAATGGTTCTATGACACAAAACTGGAGAATTTCAGTATTTTACTCAGTTACCTAATCTTTAGATTTTTTAATTTTTTTCCCATAATTTTCTTGAGAAACAAATAGCAATGAGACAGTTTCAAACCAAATTGGTAAGACAGTTTCAATAATTAACACATTGCATACATTTTTCCTAGTGGTTAACTGATGTACAAGATGCGGACATGCTATCCTATTTACAAAAACTATTAGAACAAATCCCTCTATTCATTAAGAGAATGTAACTATATATCTATCCTAACCATTTTGAATACACAGATACCAAATGGACATTCATCTGTATCCCCTTTTTTTGTTTAGTTCCGTTATTTGAATATGATAGGTGTGTTATCTCAGCAAAATATTCTAAAAGAGTCCAGTAGTCCATAATAGTGTTGGGTCTTCCATTCCTCTGGCAATGTCAGAAATTGTTGACCTGAGTCCCCTACAGCTCAACATAACAGCATGGCTTTACTTCTTATACTTCATTTTTGTACTTTTCTGCTGGATGGTTAAGACCAAGGTAAAGCAGGACTTATGCAACAAGAGTTGTAGCGTTTGGGTCTGATAAATAGTCTTTAGATTTTAGATGAATGAAAACAGATAATGTATTCACTTTCAGGTAAATTACAGAAAGACCTCTCATAGGTAGCATTTCCTTTTGTTAAGCTACTGAACAGAATCAGTTAAGCATATAAATAGTCCATGGCCTATCTTGATTAACCCAATCTTTCTGGTATATCAGGAGGCTTCCATCCATGCAAATAGCTGCTGCTGTATAATCTCACTAGACAGCAATGACTTAATTCTAAACTGCTACAATTACAAAGTTAGTTAGATATAGTAAGCACATTATTTCTTTTGAGACAGGGCTTTGTTATGCAGTTTGGACTGGCCTTGAACTTACAGCAATCTTCCTGCCTCAGCCTCCTGCTTTAGCCTCCGTGTGCCATCATGTCCAGCCAGTAAGCAGTTTTTGTAAGACAAAATTCTTAGACTGAATAAATTTATATTTTACTGCTATTTTAACTTACTAAAAGATTTACAAGCTAATCACTCTGTTCATATCTATAATCCATTTATCATTCTAAATATATTCTAAATCTAATCTCCCTGGTTCACAAAATACCTCTAGCTAACTCATCTTAACTCAGTTTGTTCCTTATTTAGTATTTTATAAACTTTCTATCTTAATAATTATTTTTGTATTGTCTTCTACTGGGTATCTGTTCTCATTAGTGTTAGGGTTCTCATTATTAGGGTTAAATTTCCATGTGTACATGGAATATGTGGAGTAACAACACACTAACACCGTAATGTAGGTACATATGTACGTATGTATGTATATATGTATGTATTCAGTTTAGCGTTCAAAGGGTATCACTGCGTAGACTGGACTCAGTGATTCTCCTGTTTCTAGTCTCCCAAGCACTGGGATTACAGGTGTGACACCAGACCCAACCTCAATGTCCTTCTCAGTGCACCCTGGGGGCGGGGCTGGCATGGCACGCCAGGGATCAAACCTGGCCACTGCGCTCTGTCTAAGCAGGCACTTTAGTCTGCTGAGCTAACTGGCTGGCCCCGAAATAACACCTTTAGATACCAGTGATAACCATATAAATTCAAGTTCTAGGAAAGCACTGCCAACTTATTTATTGCTGAGTCTTTACTATAAAGAACTGTGCTAGCCAGGATGGTGGTGCACACCAGTAATCCCAGCGCTTGGGAGGCTGAGGCAGGTGTATCAGAAACTTGAATTCAGCCTGGCAACTTAGCAAAACTGTATGTTAAATAAATTAATGGGTTAAGATGTAGCTCAGTAGGAAAGCCCTGGGCCTTAGATTCATTTGCTTCAGCCTCCTAGAGTGTTGGAATTACAGACAGGTTCCAGTGCCCTAGATGACAGTGGTTATTTTAATAGTCAATATTTCCTGAACACCATCAGAGGGTACTTTTTTTTGTTTTGTCTTGCAACAGTTTCGCTGTAATTCAGGTTGGCCTCAAACTCACAGTGATCCTCCTGTAATTTTGAAATCTGAAACCCACAAAGGTACTTGGTGATCCTGTATAATCTACTTAATACCAGAAAACAGAGATAACTGGTATTTTACAAGATCAGAAGTACTTCTAGGTAAAGCTGTGCATGTTTTACATAGTTACTTACTTCGATACCCAGTTACTCGAAATTCCATGTGCAGCAAAAATAGTAAACTGGAGCTGTTCTGTGGTAGTCCATGCTTCCTTGATGTTCCTACAACTGTGAGTACAGTCTTCAGGAGTCCTACTAGAATTTGCATGGAGTCTGAGAAGATCATAAATTGCTGCAGTTAACTGGTCCATGCTCACTTTAACAGGATTTTCAAGATTCAGGGAGCCTAGATTTGGAGAAAAATGTTAATTCTCCAAAAAATTAATGATTATTGCTGAAATGTAAAGAATCTAAAGACATACCTCCAATTGAGGTTTTGCTAGTATCTCCTCCAGATAATGAAGTCACCTAAATATATAAAGATCATTTAGTCAGAAAATGCCCATGATGCAATATAAAATGTTCATCTCTATCTTCAACACATTTTTTTAAAAAAATTATTTAACACAGGGCCTCACTATGCAGTTCATACTTGTAATAATCCTCCTATCTCAGCCTCCCCAGTGCTAGTATTACAGGCCATGTGCCATCATGCCTGGTTTTGGGGCCAGCATGGCGCATCTGGGGTCTGGGCCAGCACAGCATACAGTACTGGGGGTTGAACTCAGGTCCTTGTGCTTGCCAGGCAGCACTCAGACCATGGAGTTATATCCCCAACCCTATCTTCAACACATTTAATTAAATAATACTAAGTCAAAGAAACTCTTCCCAAGCTGGGTAAGGTGGAAGACGCCCATAATCCAAGCACTCTGGAAAGCTAAGGCAGGAGGATAGCAAGTTTGAACCCAGTCTAGGAAATTTAACAAGTCCCTATTTCAAAATTTCAAAAACAAAACAAAAATCTTTACAAAAGTCTTCAAATGTAGCTCATTTAAAAAGTCCTGGTTTCAGTCCCCAGTACTGGAGTTGGGTGGGGGTAGGAACGGCTTTCCCCAAGAAAATTTCCTAAAAGTGTTTGAAATTACTAAAAGTGTGCGTAAAAAATGCAAAGGATTGGAGGTACAGCTCACTGGCAGGACATCTGCCTAACATATAAGGTGCTGCATTCAATCCCTAATACCACAGAGGCAAAAAGAAAGGGAAACCCTAAATCCACCATCTATCTTTTTTTTTTTAAATTGTATTTGGTTGTTGCAGGGTCTCACTATGCAGCTCGGACTTGTGATGATCCTCCTGCTTTCAGCCTCCCCAGTGCTGGGATTACAGGCATACACCACTACGCCAAGACTTTGTGGCCGGCTCAGGGCCAGGCTGGTGAGGCATGTGGTGCCAGTATCAAACCACAGTCCCTGTGCTTGCCTAAGCCTGCCTCAGAAGGCACTTTACCCTGCTGAGCTATCTTGTGCCCCCATCATGCACCTTTTACTGAATCTATTTTTAAACTCACAATCAATCAATTTACGCCATAGGTCCTTCTCTACATGTAAAGGGGTTCAGTTTGCCATATACACATTCAATGTCAGTTCTTATAAAGATTTTCCAGGATAACCTCATCAAGGAATCCCCACACAACCAAAACAATGACCTGAATTCAAAAGTTAAAGTAATAACAATTTCCTTACTAGAAAACCAAAAAAATCTCCCAGTTTGATAGATGCCTACTTAAATACATAAAAATACTTACATCAGCACTTTTATTCCTTGGAAGGTTAACTGCTCTCTTTAGCTTCTTTACTGATTCGGTAATGGCAGGAGTTTCTACACCATCTAAAGCACTGCAGATTTTTCTTACAGCTTTAATTACTTGATCTACAGCTCGATGCTGGTTCTTTAAAAAGTACAGAAAATTTAATGAGCTGGATGTGGTAGGAGTTCAAGTCCAGCTTAGCTATATAATGAGTCCAAGTCAATCTGAACTACTTAGTGCGCTCCTACCTCAGAAAGTTTTTTTTTCCCCAAATCAAGTCAGAAATTAAACCATTTAGATGTGCCTATGAATAGGTATTCTCTAGTCTTAAAAGAA